GGTGCACGTTCTTGTTGGCTGGTGACTTTGGGTTAAACTTGAATGTAAATTCTTGGCTCCTCCGGGAGGCTTTTCCTTTTGATTCTGGCAAGGGGAGGATGGAGGCGCGTCCCCTCTGATGTGCACAGAGACCTCTAATTTGTGCTTTCGGTCTGGCATCTCTTGTGAAGTGCTCAGGAAGAGGATGTATCATAGTCAATAGAGTAACTCTGTTTTCTGCAGTGTTTTTCTCATGAGGGGGAATTAAGCTGCATTATTGCTCTTTTCCAGGGTTCCTCTCTGGCACTGGTAGAGTTAATAGAAGTGGAGTCATTTCGATTCTGTGCTGCTTGCTGCTGTGTGTCTTGGAAAAGCCAAAATGCTCTGGCAGACCTGCATGCTGTGTCCTGGAAAGCAGGCTCGAGCCCTTGGGGTGTGCTCGGTAAAGCTACATTATGGTGGTGGCTTTGACAAAGAGCCCTCCTTCTGTTTGCCCGAGGAATGTGTGTGCCACACACAGTGTCTCCTTTGCTTCTGTCGCTGCTGCCGAGAGGGTGATTTGTCCGCACCGGGGTGGGACAGCTTTGCAGAAATACTAACAGGCTGCTGTGCTGCCCGAAGCTGTGGAAGCTGCTGGGGATGGGGATGGCAGAAAGGGATGCTCCGTGCAGCTTTCTGAGCTTGCTGCATTCCAGCCAGCCTAAAGGTCTCTAGCAGTGTTGGAAACCCAGTGTGTTTGGAATTATGTGCGCAGTGGGCACCCTATTCATCCAGAATAGGAAGCAGTCCCTGCCCTGAACAGCTAACCGGCTGGAAAGCAAGAACAGATTCAGGCAAAATGCGAACCCAGAAGTGTGCCAAGCAGTAGGCTTGGCAGTGTCACTCCATTATCTTCTGCTGTTGGACTGAGATGCCTGGCCTGAAGTGCTGACGCACATATGTAATTTGCCCCTTCTTTAACTCCGTGCTCATTGCTCTGGGTGTTTCTTCTTCGATCTGCTCTCTCCTCAGTCTTGACTAGCTAAACATAGAGAATTACTGCTGAGTAATACCTGCTTCTTGCTCTGCAGAGTGCAAAGTGTTATGTCTGCAGTTCCCCCAGCTGCTCTTCACATGTAGAATAAGAGCCTGGCTCCAGGAAACACAGCGTTTGGTGTTGCAATGCAAAGCCACGTGTTAGGCTACGGCTACACTGAATTTCTGGCTCTCCCTACCTCTGAAGCATAAATAAATACAACAGGGTGGAAAAACCCTAAATCTTTGGTTCTGCATTTTATGTCTTTTGGAACAAGCCGAGCTAATACTTTGATATGTAACTGTATCTGGTATTGTTCCGTTTTGTTACTAAATTCTGGTCCAATGCTTTTGGTTTAGTGTTTGAAACCCTGACTCTGTTAAAATTTGGCATCCCTGAGGCCTAAGCACAGCCATGTAGATGGCTCTTCAGATAAGTTGTTCAATGCAAGACTGCTGTGAACTTCAAAGGTGCTGAGCACCTTTCCCCTGGGAATGACGGAGCTCAGCACTTTTGCATAGCTGGACTGTCAGGTTCTTCGCATCCCTGTACAGGGTGGGGTTGGTGCTGTTCTAGGATGGCATGTGAACTGGCTGGGGAGAAACCTCTGTGTTTCTGGAGCAAGAGAGACCCAGTCTTCATTTTGAAAAGCTTTTCGGGGCTTTTCTCCTGCCCTGAAGTGTTTTGGGGTTTTTTTTGTGGGTGTTTTTTTTTGGTTGGTTTTTTTTTTTTTTTTTTTTCAAAGCTGGTGTTTGTAGGGTTTGTTCTGAAGTCATTAGAAAGAACAGGGATGTCAGCAGAAAAGGTGGCTCTTCTTTTTGATCTGTAGGTGCTGTCCGGTGTTTATAATCAGGGCCTGGACTGTGCTTGGAGGGGAGGAGGAGATTGGAGGGACTACTTTTTTACTTGTCTTCTGATGTTAAACCTTGCAGAGGGAGACTGGAAAGCTCTCAAAATAGCAGATAGCTGCTCCTCACTTTACTGTGTTGTTCTTCCTTGGCTCCTTGATCTCTTGGAGAGAGAGCAGGGCTGGTTTGCCAGCCTGCCTCTGCATGGAGCCTTGGACCAGAGAACACGAAGCAGGGTGGGGAGACGGCTCTCCCTTGAGGAGCTAGCTGCTGGAAAGGGGCTGGGAGTCAGCAGGGAAGCAGGTAGCAGAGTGAAAAAAGCTTGAAGTGAAAAAAACAAACCTGCTGCACCCGCCAGAAAAGATCTTCTGAGCTGCCCTGTTAACAGTGATTTCTCGCCTGTCTTTGGTGATCAAGAGTTGTTCGGGATGAGTGTGATAGAAATACAAATTACGTTAAACCAATAAAAGAGGTCCTGAGTCAACAGAGTCCGGACACGGACAAAGATTTACCAGAGCATCCTTAATCAGAAATCATTCAGTTAAAAGTAGTCATTCCTTTAGATTTTTATTGATGTGTGGCTTTTATCGGGGCCATTTCTATTTGGCTTTTTTTTTTTTTTTTTAGGAAAACTGTGTGTGTAATCTCTGTTCTTGCCAAAATGAAGCAGATGCCAAGAAAGGTCGCGGAGGTGATCTCTGCTGGGGGCCTTCACGCAGATTAGATAAGATGGTGTGTTCAGGTCAGTGATGTTCTCTCAACAGGGGCTTGCTTTAGCCACTGAGGCAACAGCGTCTTCAGCTGTGTATTTATAACTCTGATAAGGTCTTTGTTTTCAGCACAGTGGTACAGAGCATCTTCAGGGGGAGATGAGATGACAGTGTGATACCACAAGCTGAAATCATGTCTTGAGTCCTCTTTCTTCCTGTTGTGTGTTAGATATCTTTAAAAATCAAGGAGGTCTGAAAGGCAGTTGGTGCTGTATACTTTCTGTATATAGTTGTGTTTTTTAATACTCTCAGTAATACTTCCCTCGGTAAACTCTAGGCCTGAAATCTTCATATTTTATTTATTTTTTAAAATGAAAACAGAGCTTCTTTTGAAATCACGTGACTCTAGAAACTTGAGATTGATTAAAAAACCCATGATTGCTATGGAAACTGGTAACATTGCAACACGTTATGCCTCCTTTTGGCCAGTCAGCTCTTCGCCGTGGGGTCTCTTTGGTACCTCAGACTGACACAGCTCTCCCCGTGGCAGAAACGGATGATCAGCACCGGGTCAAGTGTTTATTGTGCAAGGTCATTCTCTCCAAACCAGAGCGACTAAGGGTTCAACTAACTATTTTTTCTGGTACCTTTCTAGGCTCCTGGTCTGCGGCACCATGTTGGATCCCAAGCCTCACTCTGCAAGCCGGAGGTGAATCCAGGTGAAAGCCAGCTATCACAGTAGGCGTCAGGATGACCAAAGCACGGCTCCTCCGTCTCTCTGTGGTGCTGGTCTCCATCTTCATGATCCTCCTGATCATTGTTTACTGGGACAATGTGGGAACGGCTCACTTCTACCTGCATACGTCCTTCTCCAGACCTCATTCCCCAGGAGCCATCCCTGGTATCACGGCAGGTGAAGACTGGGAAGCCTTGCCAGATGTGGATGAATTTTTGGCAAAGCTGCTTAGTTCGAGCCTGAAACAGAACAGCTCTATCTCCCGAAAGACAGAGCAGCTACTTGTCCAGGGCTCTAGCAAGCCTGTGGTGAGCAATTTGGAGGAGAACGTGCGGGGCTATGACTGGTCTACGCACAATGCCAGAAACAGCTTGGACCAAGAGAAACTGCAGATAGAGAGACAGAGAACATTGCGGGAGTTCTGTGCCAATTCCAGCTTCGCCTTCCCTACCAAGGACCGCTCCTTTGATGACATCCCAAACTATGAGCTCAACCACCTGATCGTGGATGACCGCCACGGCATCATCTACTGTTATGTCCCCAAGGTGGCCTGCACCAACTGGAAACGGGTGATGATTGTGCTAAGTGAGAGCCTGCTGGACCAGGGGGTCCCATACCGGAACCCTCTGGATATCCCCCGGGAACACGTCCACAACACCAGCACCCACCTGACCTTCAACAAATTCTGGCGCCGTTATGGGAAGTTCTCCCGGCACCTCATGAAGATCAAACTGAAGAAGTACACTAAGTTCCTTTTTGTACGAGACCCTTTTGTCCGCCTCATCTCGGCCTTCCGCAGCAAATTTGAGCTGGAGAATGAGGAGTTCTACCGGCGTTTTGCCATCCCCATGCTTAAGCTGTACTCCAACCACACCAACCTTCCCACCTCAGTTAGTGAGGCCTTTGGGGCAGGCCTCAAAGTCTCCTTTTCTGACTTCATCCAGTACTTACTGGATCCTAGGACAGAGAAGATGGCCCCCTTCAATGAGCACTGGAGGCAGGTTTACCGTCTGTGCCATCCATGCCAGATAGACTATGATTTCATCGGGAAGCTGGAGACGCTGGATGAGGATGCTGCTTACCTATTGCAGCTCCTCAAAGTGGACAGGCTGCTTCGTTTCCCCCCCAGCTACCGGAACAGGACTGCCAGCAGCTGGGAAGATGACTGGTTTGCCAAAATCCCACTGGCTTGGAGGCAGCAGCTCTACAAGCTTTATGAAGCAGATTTTGTACTCTTTGGCTACCCCAAGCCAGAAAACTTGCTTAAAGACTAGAAGTGATTGGGCGGTGGGTGTGGGAGGGAACATCTGAAATACCAAAAACGATTAAAGCCTCCTCAGTTTTGCTCTTAACTCCCTTCCCCGTACAGGTTGGTCCAACGGAATATATTTTTTCTACTGCTTCCCCTTCCATTTTTGCAATAATGCCAGAGCCCAGGGTATTCCAGCCAGCTGTGCATATGCAAAAAAGCCAGGTTTTTTGTTATCGTTCATTTTCTGGGTTTTATTTTTTTAAAATGTCCCCATGTTTTACAATGGGTTGCTGCCCTTGGTCACTCTGCCAGCTGTGTCCTTCAGTAGCTTTTTATTAATACTTTTTAAAAATTAATATATTTAAGATATTTAATACAAAGTGTGTGTTGTGGCAAAGGAAGGGAAGGAATAAAAAAAAAAGTAAAAGAAAACCCCAAGAAATGATGTACCTGCCTCTGTGTGTTGTGTCAGGGCTGCTGTTTTGGAGGACTGAGGTTTGCAGAGCACACGTGTCTCTTTGGGAGCTGGGTTTGTCGGTGGTGCCTTCACCAGCCACATCTGCTGGTGGTTGCGCTGAGTTGGGCTCAGGGCAGATTGGATGGGTCAGTGCCTGACTCTGCCAGACAGCCCGGGAAGAATCCCAGCGCTCCGGTGACACGCACTGGTCGCAGCTGGTGAGCGTGACGCCAGGGTCACAGGAAGGAGATGGCTGTTGGGATCAGTGACACCGAGCCCCGTGGGGTGTTTCAGGACACGCAGGTGGCCAACACAGTACCTCTGCACTGCTTCACCTTCCAGTAAAGTGGTGGTGGGACTCTACTTTCCAAAAAGCTGAGGTTCCTCAGCCCCTGTATACCTTGCTAGTGTGGGGCATCTTCTGTGACATGTCCGATTGCTGGACGGTGCCTGAAGTTCCTGGGTGTTGTAGCGAACCTGGATGGGCAGAGTGTTCTCTTGGGTGGGTGTGCTGTCCAGAATTGGCATCCAGGCTTCACGCTGCGGTAGCTTAGGCAGGAACGCGGGTTGATCGCTATCGCAGCCGGTTGCAGGAGGGGAGGTGGTGTGCTGCTCTGTGACCTGGTCACTGCTGCGTATGGTGCAGGTCCCTTGAGAACTGTGCTATATCCTCATTCCTGTGCACACTTTAAGGGGACGTGGCAGGGATGCAGATGCTTATCCCTGGAAGAAGAAGATCCGAAAGGTTTCTTTCAATAAGCAGGCGTCAAGGTGAACTCGAAGTTCATTTGTTTTCAGAGTGCCAGCTACTGCTCGTGATGCTGCATCCTCATCTGCTGCCTTTCTGTTTATACCAAATGACTGATGCAGATTTAATCATCTGCCTTGCTGGGACCTGCTGCAGGAGCGATGGTTGCCCACTGTGCTAGGAGCATGTGGGCTGCTTCCCAAAGGAAATTAATGCTTTTAGAGAGACTTCTTGTGTCTCAGCAGCTGAATCTGCTTCTCTCTTTCTCTCTGAATTGCTCTACAAAAACTGTCTGCTTAGCAGATTGGGCAGGCAACTCTCTTACAGCTGAAATGCTTAATTATTTCCCTGGGCTGTGGATGGTATCAGTGATTAACGTACAGTGTCAGGTCTTGGGTGGCAGCCTTGTGTTTTGGGTAGGCTTCTTTATATTGGCCTTTTACTCGGTTTCTCTCCGAAGGCATCAGATGTGACTTTTTCCCTTTCTCTCCTTGCTTCCCCAACCTCTGTACACATGCATCATCTTGGCATTGCATGTTTTTCCTAGTGAAATATGCTGTATTGAGCTTTTTAACCTATAAATGAAAGGTAATTGGTAGTAGTTAAGCTTGAAGCAAACTGTTTGCTTCTCGTATTCACACCACACTCCTGTAATTTTTGCAGATATTTGCAGTTTAACTGAGCCAGAAGCCATGGTCAGGGTCTCGGTGCGTAGCTCTTCACAGCTTGGGGAAAAAGGAAGTGCCTGTTTCTGAGTCATTATTTAAAACTAATAATAGAAAAGTGTTGATCTATTCAATTTTTTTCTTCCCAGTTACCAGCTAATTGCTGCAAAACAGAAAGATGTTGAGAGTCTCGTCTCCTGTAATGAGTAATCCCGGGAGTCTCTTGGTTCCTACTACATTTACATTTCTTCAGGGTGGGTTCATCTCGCTCTTCAGAGATACAGCATGGATGTTTTCATCTCTTGTCTTTACAAAGTGTTTATTTTTTTCTCCTTTAATTTAAATGTAATTGATGTTTAGTATGTGTAGAGGTGGGTGGCTGGGACGGTGGCGCAGATGCCGTGCAAACTTCCTTCCAGCTGCTTCCCGTGAACCTTTTGATCTGGTCCTGTCTCTTCCTGCCCTTCCAACCAGCGCTTGGCCGAGGTACCCCTGTAACACCGGCTCACCCTGCAAACCGCAGTTGCCCTGCGATTCCTGGCCATGGCTTTTCCTGGGGAAGAGTCCAGGAGCATCTTTTCAAGGTCACCAGTCAGTCATCTGGGGCAGAGGAGGAATGGGTGCCTGTGTTACCGTCATTCTTGGCAGCAGGGTCCTGATTGTGCAACAGGCAGAGAAGGTGCAAAATGGCTGCAAACCCTGCACGGCAGCTGCTCCGTGTGATGGGAGAGCGTATCCTCACCTTGTAATTCAACAGCAATAGAAAATAAAAGCCCTCCCTTCCCTTGTGGACATTGACCAGAGGGGAGACTTTAAATGCACCTATTTCTCTCCTCTCTCCCCACCCAAAGCTGGATAAAGGGGGTAAATTCCAGCATTATGTGCTAACAGCACCCTAACAGCACCGCACTAAGGTCCAAAACACCCCGTATGCAAAGTTCAGGGAGCTGCCGGCATCCCGATGGCTTCCTCAGCCTCCGCAAGAGATGCCGTCAGGATGTATGGGTGGCATAAGGCCACGGAGGGCTCTGCCTTGTGTGCTTTCCCTGTTTCACCCCATTGAGTCCAGCCTGCGTTGACATTTAAGACATTTTAATCTTTGTAGACCCATACCCAACCGACACGCTGGGTGCTGTCGGCGCTCTCCTCATTTCTCATTGCCACGCTTCAAAGCGCTTGCCGGGAGGAGCAGTAAAGCTCAGATGGAGAGGGTTCACGTTGCAGTGGATTGCTTCTGGGTTCAAAACAGTTTCTTCCTCGCTGCTCTTTTTCTTTTGAAGCCCTCCCTCCCCACCCTTCCACCACTGTGAATGTATTGTTAAGAAGTCAAAGGGGATGCAGGCTGTGCTGAGCTTTGTGGTAAGACCGCTGGGTTGCCAGAACTGGGATGGAGCCTCCGGCTTTGGGAATGTGCATTTTTTGTGGGTTTCTTGCTCTGTTCTGATGATGTAGAAGTGTGCGGGGGGTGGAAAAGAAGGACAAAGAGTTCAACCAGCCATGCTTCCTTCCCCCCTGGTTTCCTAAAGGAGCTGGAATTTGGTATTTGACAAATAGCAGCAGAATGATTGGAAAGGGCAGGCGGTATGCATCCGTGCTGGCCTGAAGTCAGAAGGCAGCTAGAAATCTTGGAGTGTAGATGGTTATGATGCTAGTACTGATTTTATAAGGGGCAGAAAAATGCTTTGAAGCGGCCTATTTGTATGTGAATAAACCTGGCTTTGTCATTTCATGCTCAGCCTACAAAATCACGTCCTGTTCCCCTCCTGGCTTGCTTTTCCCTGGGGTTGACCACTTGGCCAAAGTCAGCACGGAGTCTCTAACCATGCAGAACCGATGCGCAGATGCAAAAATAACCTGGGGTTTGACCAAGATGTTTCCAGCAGGGTAGAACTGAGACCAGCTTTAGTGTTCGCTCAGCTTCAGAGCCAAAGCCTTTGCACAGCCATTGAGCAGATTCGGTCCCTTGCTGTTTGATGCCGGATCCACCACTGCGGTGGGACGCGTGTGACCTGGCCCCGCAGCCCCTGCGTGCTCCAGGGAAGGACTGTCAGGCTTCAGAGCTCTTTGCTTTTTGAGCAGTGACATGGCTTTGCCAGCGTATGGAGTGTCCTTAACACACGAATACCTTTGCATCTCAGTAGCTTTTGCCTTAACCCTTTAATTCACGTCTGGTTCAGGGGAACAAAATTGTAGACCCGTTACCCACGGACAACAAAAAGTTGCCCTGGGATAACATGTGAGATGAAGCGTTTTGGCTGCGTGTTTTGCATCCCTCAAGGTGGCACTGGGAGGATGGAGGGCAAGGGATGAATGGCAGCATTGAAAGGGTGGCGAAGAAAAGCCAGTTTGTTCCTCCTTATGTAAGCCGGACCTTTGCGGCAGCCCGCGGGGAAAGCCCGTGACTTGGCAGGGCGCTGGGTGGGT